GAATGTATTAAATGATATGCCTGCTGATTTAGGCTCAAAGTTGACCCAAAACACAGCTACAAATGAATGAAGATGACAAAGATGAATAATAAGACAATACATTATTCACTACTCTAGCCTTGGCAGAATAGCTTTAGAGATATTTCTGAAAATTAATTTTAAAAATACACAAATTATTGTCTAAGCCATAACAAATGTATTTTTAAAAATAAATAATGAAAGTTAAAAACTTTTAACTCTAGATTCGGTGAAGCCTGTGCAGATCAGTTCCTTCACCTGTTTCACTTTGAGGACGGTGCTCTTTGGGTTCTGTTCCCACGTCTTGGGCATCGTCATAGTGCATATGTATATATTAGGACCTTGCAGTTTTTCTGAGGGTTTTTGTTCCTGTGAATTCAGTAGCACAGGTTGACCATGGTAAGAATTGTAGCACAGTGAGGTAAAAAGTTGTGTGGTTCTGTATAATTCCTGATTGCTGGAAGGTTTTAATGCAAAATCCCTTTCTTGACTTAATAATAATAATTTTGGATCAAAGTCCACACAGACTTCAGAAAAGCATCAAGAAGATCTACCAGCTGTAACTGAACTGAAATAGTCTCATGTGAATCAAAATGACAAAAGTCCTAAAAAACAACTTCAACTATTTGTTCAGTGAAGACAATTTTTTCAGTTGTTTTCAAAAGAATCAGGTTTGAAAAGTCGGTCGTGTTCGATGTGAAGAGTCTCTAAGGAATCTGAGGTCAAATCAAGCGTTTACTCGGTGCTGATTTTGTCCTTCTGATGGTCGATGATGTCTAACGACACCAGTGATGACATCATGGATCAGGTCTATTTTAAAACCCAACTGCAGTGACCCTTCACCTTGGACTGAGGAGGAGGAGTTGGACCTGCCTCCTCTTTCCTGCCTTTCTCTCATTTCTTCTTCTCTCCCTCCTCCTCATCATCTTCATCTCCTCCCATCAATCTCCCTGTTCATCCTTTCACTGCCTCTGTCTCCAAATGAATGGAGTGGTCCCCAAACACTGGTCCAGGGATTCCCAGATGGGTCATTGAGGAGGGTGCAGTGAAATGTGATCTTAAACCAAGATCCAAGATCATTAGTCTAACTCTTCTGAGTTTAGACTATTGAGGATAAAGTTAATGGGTTGGACGATGGTATCATCTACGTAATGATTTTAGAAATGTCAGCCAGCCAACATACACTCCTAGTCATTTGAATTTGATGTGACATTAGCAAGTCAGTTGTTTGTCTGTTTCCACACAATATTAGATGGTTTTCTGTTGATGAATTACAGACTAACCCTAAGCCATAGTTACATTTTTGGTTTTTTTTTTCTATGAATCGAGTTTGTTTGCAAAAATGGTGCAACACCAATCGATGCAAATCACAAGAAAAAGCAGTTGAACAGATCAATCCAACGGTGTTTCTGCGTCTGTGGCTCAGTGTGATGTGGCGTGCTGTCCGCCGGGCACTAAGACCCTGGGGCCTTCCTCCTCACGGTCCTGCGGGAGCGCAGCCGGATTGAATGACAATAAACTGGATGAGATACCGGATGTGCCGAATCTGACCCCAACGGAAAGACTGAAATAGACACTGCAGACCAGCAAGTCCAGGCACAGTGGGAGAAGGAGGATGGACGGACGGACGGACGGACGGACAGAGAAGGTGGGAGGATGTGGGTGCAGGAAGGACGGGGACAGTGAATGAGGAAAGATAGTGACACTGATTCTGGATCTGGTGGAGCCTCAGTTTGTTTGTCACAGAATGTCTGAGAGTTTGTTGTAAATGAAACCAGTGTGATGACTGGGAAAGTCAGTACTTCCTGTGAACTTCCTCTGACGTTAAACACACCTTGTTCGATGTTGGTCTGTTCTGGACCAGATTTTGAGTCGGCTAATTTTAGAGTCAGGGCTGAGTTTCAGCGTTTGTCAGGTGTCGTTTGTCTTGCAGCGAACAGGGAGAGTGAGGTCAGATTATTTACTCCTGAAAATCCGTCAATGTTCAGTGTCAGACAAACGGGAAGGGGAGGGGTGGGGGGGGGTCAACAAACAGTTCACAAGAGCTAAGTGTGAAATGTTCTTCATTGTCTGTTTTAATCTAATATTGATCCAAGAGCTTTTCATCGGCACTTGTTAATAAATTACATTTGTATTTACATCATTAAACAACGTTGTGCAAACATGATAAAAAAGGAACGGTGTACGTTTAAATGTTGTCTTGGTTTGGAGTTCTAGGTTTCTAAGTTCTGTTGAAGTTCCATTTAAATCAGCTGCTGAAAGAACTGAGGCTAAAAACTAGAACAAGACAATTTGAATTTCTGTGTTTTGGTTTTTTTTTTTTGGGGGGGGGGTTGCCATTTGTTGCCACCTGTTAATTATTGAATGCCAATTCATGGACCATGACCTTCAATCCTAAATTCAGAATATGATTAGAGTCAGAGAAAAATCACAAAGTATTTGGACTATTAATCTATTATAAAAAATATTCCGTCTGAAGCCTGTTGTTCTTTTGCAGCCTACTTCTGGGATGCAGCCCAGACTTCACTACTCTAATTAATTAAAAACCAGATGAGGGGAAAAAGAAAAAGACTTTTCAGTCTTTAAACTGTACCAGATTTCCATATCGACTCTAAGGCTGTGATTACATCAGGTCGACATTACACAGTCAACTGTCCATGGTTGAAAACGTCTGTCATATTACAGAAGCCCACTAGTTAATTATTATTATTAAAAGGTAATCTGACTAAAGAAGTAAATTAGTGGGGAAAAAAAGTTGCGTCAGTTTCTAATAAGTGAGTTCTGATCCTTATATTTGATGTAAGTTTTCACCAAAATCAAACCTCCAGAAAGAGTTGATGTTTCTTCAGTATTGAAAAGTTGAGGGTTTTTTTTTTTCATATATTTCCACAACTGTGTGGTTCTGTAGTGCATTAGTCAGTGCATTAGCCTCACTCCCTCTCCATTCACCTCCTCCCTCCCTCTCCATCTACCATTCATCTATTTCATCATTTCTTCATCTCTCGCCACATACTTCTCCACTCCACATCCACTGTCCCCTCCCTTTTTGACTTCCATCCATCCATCCTTCCATCCTTCCATCCATCCATCCATCCATCCACTACTCCTCCCTCTCCATCTCTCGTCCCATTCACTCTCTCTCCCTCCCGTCAGGTCGCCCCATCATTTGCTCATCCGCCCGCCCCTCCAGTCCCACCCTGCCGGAGATGGGTATTGACATTCTGGATCCGACCTTGAGGACAATCAATCCCAACCCCACACGTCCCCAACGCACACACAAAAAAACCACACACAAACTTCTAAACGCACAGTCGGTCAGTTGATAAAAGAACCAGGAGACGTGTGTCGGTTCAACACCGCTCCTGAAATAAAGTTGTTCAAAATCCAACAGTCTGTCCCACAGAGAAGGTTACAGCAAACTGTCATTCATTGACTGATACGACCAACATCCACTCATACGACCAAGGGAAAAACTCATGACTGTGCACTTTAAACACACACACACACACACACACTCAGCCGTCTGCGTTTGTAGGTTAGCTCTCACTGAGTCCCAGAAGCCTTTGACAGCTTCAGTGATACATTTGGACCAAAGTTTTGAACCTGCACTGATGTCTGTGCACAGCATAGAACAGGAAACAAGGTTTTACTGTTTGTCAGTCAGATTCACATGGTTTCATCTTCAGAGATCTTTGGACTCAACTCACACTGGATTCATCACAGTCTGATGTTGAAGTTCACTCTTTACGTCTATTTAAGTCTCGATCACAGCGTACTGGTCAACAGCCAATCAAACTCCTGCTAATACAACAAAGGTTACAGCTGTTGAAAACCTGATCAGAGCTTCAATAAGAAACAACAGAAATGTCCTAAAAAAACTCAGATTTTTTTTTTCTTTTATCCCAAGGTCAGAGACACAGCAGTAGTTGGTTAGAGGATCGGATGGCGATAGGATGTAGTAATGCTTACCTCTGACCGCTGGGAGATCCATTCTGCAGCGACTCGGCGACTTGTCCTGGTTGTAATCGTGTGTAATTGTATGAAAGTGTCTGTTAATGAGTTACCGATGGGGTTTTTCTGTTGGTCTTGAAGCACTTTCTGTGAGTTGATTGGTCGTACTAGCTACAAAAGCAAGGATTTATTTGCGGACACATTTGTATGTCGTCTGCAAATATAGAGTGTTACTGTAAAGATGTAGTGTTGAATTGGTGTAATATAATGATGGGTGAGGAAGGAGGGGAGGATGCTTTTTCTCTCCTTCTCTGTCTCCCGGTGTGACGCCCTTCTCCTACTCCTCCCTCTCCTCCTCCTTTTCCCGGAGCTCGTCCTGGAGCACTCTGATCCCACTGAGGTCACCACTCAGGGAAAAAAGGAGAAAAAGCAAAAAAAAAAAAAAAAGAAAAGTGACAGAAGCCCCCTTTTTTACATACAGTACATGTAGGGGTTTGAGTCGCAAAAATCTTTAAAGATGCAAAAAAATATACTTCAAAAAATCCAATGATAAACAGAATCTTCTGGCTTTTAATTATAATAACAATTTCCTGGTGGGTTTATCTCAGTGTTGCAGTGGTCAGTGATTTTGTCTGGAAAAAGAGAATTAAAAATGCAGCTTTTGAAGGTGAGAGTCTCAGGACTTTGCAGCAGCTTCTCTTTTTTTCTCTGTCTCTTCGTCCTGTTGTAGTTTCCTCTTCTCTGACCAAGAGATGAATGACTGAGAGCTGGAGGCACTTTCTCTCTCTCTTACTCATACACACACACACACACACACACACACACATAGTGGTCACCCCCTCCTCCTCCTCCTCCCTTCCTCCCTCTCTCACTCCTCTGTCTCTCTCATCCCTCCCTCTCCCATCGCTGACTTCAATTCACCTCGTGAAAATGACGATGCAGGAGTTGGTTCTGTCTTTAATCTGGTCAAATACCAACATTAAGGCTTGGCACGTGTTTTTGTTACATTTATATTATTTTTGTAACTTATTTACCATGAGTTTATTTGACATGTATCTGTCTATAGTCAACCATTTTTATTTTTTACATTTTTAAGCCCTAGGATTTACTACTTTTCTCTTCCGGGCCTCACTTTAACTTCAAGCTGAGTCAGTGTTTTTTCTGGATAATGCTAATGCTAACTGCAGTTTGGCTTAATGTATTTGGTTACATTTTACTCTCAAACTAAAGTAAATTTTGTGTTTATTTGTCATTTCTGGGTAACTTATGGAAACATTATAACTTTTTTTGATTGTTTAATGTTAATATGAATCAATCTCACACTTCTGTACAAAAGACCTGAAGTCAGGGCCTAGCTAACAGGCTACATCTTAGAGTTGCCTTGGCTAGCTTTTAGCTTTTTTACTTCTTGCCTGAGTTTTTTTTTTTTTAATGAATCATAACTTATTTTAACTTATTTTAACTTAGAACATATTTATCTTTTTTCATCTTGTTTGGTAATGCTACATTTTTTGACCCCGTTTTTTTATCCCACCCGTTTGTTTACCCTCTTTCAAGTTACTTTTTACAGTTTCTTTTCTATTTTTTGTTTAACTATTTGCTAATGCTTATTTTAACATTTAAAAAAAAAAAAACAGAGTTTTAAAACTGAACTAGTTTTGCACAGCTACTTATTGTGTTGCCATTTAGTTACAGAAAGGCCTCATTCGTTCTCTCTATAAGGGCGAGTGACATCACTAACATATTGCTGCATGACTGTAATATGAACCTCCCTCCTTTGTCTCATCCTTGCTGTGTGCAGAGGATGCTGTCGTGTGCACGTGTGAGCGTGCGCGTACGTCTCCTGTCTCTTCTGGTCTGTGCCCTTACTCAGCAAGTTGAGGCTGCAGCGCTAGTTTAGGTCCAAATGTGTACGGTGCACATTACCGTGAGCGGATGGTCCTTAATGGAGCGGCTGCTTCTGTGGTGTTTCCTGTGCAGGAAGACGAGGAGAGTCAGAGATGAAACAAACTGCTGAGAGAGAGAGAGAGAGAGAGATGGGGGGAGGAAGGGAGACAAAGAGAATGTGATTATCGAGAATTAACATCTCTCCAAATGTGCTCCACCTTGGCCTGTATTAGCTCTGTGAGTTTTCTTTTCTTAGCCGGGGATAAAGTGTGCTCCTGACTAGACATTTTACCCAAAAAAAACCGTTCAGAAACAGGATACCTTTACAGTTACAGTGGGATACATTTCAGATGCTTATTCAAATGTTTGTCCTCCTTAAAGCTGCAGGAGACAGATTTCTTTGGATGGGTTTCCGTCGGCTTGTTTTTATTTCTGCTAAAAGGGCTGTAACATGGAAATTTAAGATGTTCTCACGCATTATGATCGCAACAAATCTCAGACAATGGCTGCACCAGGTCCAGACTGTGATTAGCCTACTATTCCAGTGTTGAAAATGTCTACTATCTCTTTATAACAAATGTCTACGGTATTTTTTCTGTTCATCTCTAACTTTATCTTTACTGAAAATCTTTATCACCCTAACCTGCTGTCCAGCTCTATAATTTGGCCAGGCCACAAATAAAATTCCTCAGTGCTCAGCAAATCTGTTTTATGCCTGACGTCCAATTTTCAAAAACCCCTAATAAAGTGTTGATGAAGGGATTTTACTCGCGGCCCACACACCCTGGACCTGTGACTCACTGACAAATGTCTTTTGGTTTTGGTTTTCAAAAATGTATGACATTAACTTGTGAAAATTACATCTCATTTAAGGAAAGTTCTGCAATTCAACACATGACGTGACAGAAACATAAAAGTGAAGACCTGAAACACTGTCATACATTCATTCTGACAACCAGTGGTGTGTGTTCGTGTGTGAAAATTACTGTGTGTGTGTGAGAGAGAGAGAGAGAGAGAGGGGGAGAGAGAGAGAGAGATGGGGAGATGTTCTGGGTCAGGCAGGGATCAATGTCAAATGGCCTGGTTAACAGCATCCAGCTGACAAAGTCATTCATTTCTGCCGGCGCTTTGAACACACACACACACACACACACACACTTCCTGTGTGTGTGTGTGTGTGTCCCCACTAAAAAACAACGCCTTCTGGACTGGACAGGAGGCGTCCCACCCATGAAGCACATCGGTGTCAACTTACACAACACATTACAGTATGTCTGTCACGTGAGCGGCAACACACACACGCGTGCGCACACACACACACGCGCACACACTTTGGCTGAATGCTTTTATCTGAAGTGCTCGGTTGGACACTCAGACAGGAAGTGGAGGGAGAATTCTGAGGTTGGTTTGAAGACTGCACTGACAACAGATTGATGGAAACCACGTGACACTTTTACTGCTGGTCTCTGACGCCTCTTCAAAGGTGAGAAACCATGAACCTCGGCACCGTCGACCGACTGACGCTCAACTGGTGACACGTTCTCAAGTCAAAATATCCTAGGACTTATTCAAGTCCAAGTCACCATGAGGAAAAATTTGGTTCAAATCCAAGTGTAAACTCGAGGATTTAGAATCACAGAAAAAAAAAGCTGTAATTGAGTCTGAGAGAAGTTTCAAATCATAGTCCAGGTCATTGGGACTGGATGGAGAGACCAGATTTGGAAACTGAGTCGATGGTCTTAAGACTTTTGGACCGGAGTCCATCCATCCATCCATCCATCCATCCATCCATCCATCCATCCATCCATCCAACTGAGAGTAATCAACTCAACTCAGTTCCCTGTGAGAAAACCCAGTTCTGGAGAATCTCTTTTTGGCCCGTCATTGTAGAACCTGCTAACTTACTTGTCACACACTTCCCACCCTGGTGGTCACTCCCTGAGCTGTGGAAATGTTGCAGATATTTATGAGTAGAGCCACCGGTCCATTAACTGACCAGGCCCGGCTTGATTGGCTCCGGACGAGGGCCCTGAAATAGCAGGATTGGCCGTCGGCCAAGCGGCCATTTCCTGTGTGTCTGACAGGAGCTGCAGCCACTGGGGCTCAAATGCATTTCCTGACTGTGTATAAAACTTTTATTAATGACCAGGAGGAGTGCATCAGTGGATCTGCCCGCGCACTCGAACCGCCCGCACTCACTCATTCACTCAGTCATCGAGAGAGAGAGAGAGAGAGAGAGAGAGAGAGAGCTGGAGGGAGGGAGGGAGAGATGATGGAAGTAAAAAGGAGTTGCAGAGACACGATGTGAGACGAGCAGAGGAAGAGAGAGTGTCATTGAGGGAGAGAGAAAGAAAGGGAGGCTGATGGATGTGTGAGGAGATGAACAGATAGAATTAAGTGAGACAAACCAGAGACGAGACATTAAAACAGAGAGCGTGTGATAAGGAAGAGGAAGGTTTTCTATAGGCTGGACAGCATCAGTATCTCTTACAGCCTAACTCTATTACTCACCTACAGAGATCAAGGCAGAGCTCACCCACTTCACCACAGCATCGCCACAGAATGACGTAGTTTCACAAAAGACGGTCTGAACCAGGTCTGGGAATCGACATCCAGTCTTTTTATCTGTTCCTTCATTAGTTAACTCACTTTATTTATTTAGTTTAGCAAATGTTTGCTAACAGCTAAGCTAACTTCCTTCTGTCTTTAAAGTTCATTTGACTTTAAAGGGGGGGCAGATCTGTCCTCAAGGGGGAGCATTTCCACCGTTGAGTCGAAAAACTGTTTCTTAATTACATTTAAATTGCTGTGTTCAAAAATAAAAAAAAAACCTGACCAAATAAACAAGTAAAACTCAAGGCTCGAAACCTGACAACGATATAATTTAACTGTTAGTTTTATTGGGATTTTTTTTTGAGCTCGAAAACGATATAATTTAACTGTTAATTTTATTGGTCGACATCTAAACATATCTGATATATTAAACTCAAGAGCAAGACGACCAAAGCAGAAGGGCAGTTACCTGAGTATTTCAATACTGTACTCCATTCACCTCCACTGACTCAGTGGAGTAACCAAGTATCTGAGAGAGAGTTCTCTGGTCCAGTCTCTGTGGCCTTTCATCACCCGAGTGAAATGTGACTGGAGAGTTTCAAATGTTTAAAGAGGAGCAGAATTACATCAGATGGATGAAAGATGAGACCTGTCAACACCTTCCTGTCAGGATGGAGAGAGAGAGAAAAATCATCTAGAGAGAACGACTCCCAGGATTGTTGAAAATATCCAGACTGATTAGATATCAACCTGCACGCTCTCTCTGAGCCAGCCAATCACAGAGACGCTCGGCCCTGAGCTCAGGCCTTGGTCATCGTTTCCAAATTTTTCTGTCAGCAGAGAGATGAACTCAGTAGATGGCGATGTTGAGTTGTTCTTAGATGAGTCCTCACTAGTGTCGTTAATATTTTTATTAAAATATTAACAGGAAGTTCATGTCAGAATTTCAAGAATGGGAATCCAGAGATTTCTTTTTTTAAGCAGTGGGTCTGAAATCACAGATTGTCTTGTTGGAAACAACTTCCTAGGACCACAGAGTCATCACTGGTTTTTCTAGGTTCTTTCCTAATTAGCTTAGCTTTTATGAATTAGCCAGTCAAATCCAGAAATTAGCAAAAGTCAAGGGTGTGTGTTCCTAACTGTACCTGGTGCTCGTAGCATGATCCAAGCCTTAATGGTAACAAAGGTAACAGAGACAGACTGTTGTGACATTAGTGAAGCTGATTCACTGTAAAAAGTAAACGTTTTTGTCTCCAAAGAACCCTCAGTGAGGAGGCGGTAGGATGCTGTTCATGTGTAGCATGAGTGTCTCACACACACACACATGCACTCACTGACCCCGAAGCCAGGCAGTGGCATCTGTGGGTCACTGACCTCCGGCATGGGGCCTGGTTAGTGGGAGCATGGGGTCGATAGGCCGTGCGTGGGAGAAAGAGTGAACAATTTATTTTTATTTCTGTTCTAGGTTCTGTAATAGTCCACATTATATATATGTAAATATATATACATTACCAGCATCTAATAATGAGCCCTCCTTATTTTTGCCGATCATGCCAATAAAGTTCATTGATCAGATGAGGGGCAGAGAAAGAGAGAGAGAGAGGAAGGACTAGAGAGAGAGAGAGTATAATGGGGAAGTCATTGATTATGGCTGATAACTCTGGCTTTTTGATGTGGATAATGCAGTCCCAGTCTTCCTGCCTCTTCACTGCCTTTACTCTCCGACACCCTCAGGCCGAACAGGAGAGAGGGAGAGAGAGTGTGTGGAGGAGGTTGAAGAACTTTTCAGGTCCAGTGGACACCTCACCACCCAGGGCGTTGACGATGTCTCTGTCTCTGAGTCTCAGTCTTTTGCTGAGCTGCAGTGAACTGTGATGTCATTTATTATACAGATGGAAAAACGGCAGATATGAATTCCACTCAGTGATTCAGTGGTTCCCGAACCATAGCTTTTCCCTCGAGCAAACAACAACAACAGCATCTGCTTGTTAGATTCTATAATAACATTTGGAATTAATATGAATACCTCCAGGAATGACTTTGGTCTAATCAGCCAAAGGTTTCCACCTCTGTTGACCCCTGGGGGTCACGACCCCTACCTTTATGGTAGTGGAGCTGTTGCTAAATGCTATCTCTTTTTTTCCCCGTTCATTTTGTGATGTGATATTCTGTGGCCATTTGTGGTCAGTTTGTGTTGCTCTGTCATAATCCAATGATTTTATTAATATTATCATTAATATTATTAATGTTATTATTGGTATTATTCGGTCTTATTATTAGGTCTGCCTGAAAAACGTGACTGAAGTGAGCATGGATGATGAGCAGTCAGAGTCAGCCAAGCCCTAAAGAGCATTGATGACCTCATTCTCTATCTCTGCTCCATCGGCTCCAACTCAATGACCCGCAAGATCAGAGGGGACCAGAGGGAAGCTGGCTCCCTCTGCTGGACACCTAAAAGGCGGTTGTGTAGTGTAGCAATTGATAAAGTTTAAAAAAAAGTTTATTGAATTGAAGGAAAGACAAATTAGGTTAAAAACTGACTTCTGATTTTTAATTGTTTATTTTTATATTTTTATATTTTATATTTGAAACCTACTTAATGTTAAATATGACATTTTATTCTTGAAGGAAATGACGGTGCACATCGTGCTGTAATAGAAAACACTCCAGACATCGTCTACAAAGACACATCACTGGTTTTAATGACAATCTTTCACAAACTGTTGTTTTTTTTTTCTCAGTGACACATTAGGCTGAGTCAGTTGTCAGAAAAATCCAGCAAATAGGAAATGAACCTGCAATAGGAAAATAAATACAAACCAATCTTACATACTGCAGATCAAAAACTACACATTTATATAGCTTAATTATTTTTGGAGGGGGGTGTAACTGTGCTCTGATCAATGCATTACATTTTCTGGTCGTCCCCAAAATAACAATAAGGCACTTGGACAATTCACTATAGCCAAAAATATTGACGTACACGTAAAAAGCCGACTGTGTCCACTGGAGGGCGTCTTTCCTTCAGTACTGGTGATCAGCTGAAGAACATTGAGATACTCAGTGACAGAGGATTATCTTAAAGTGATGTGTTTTGGCCGAAGGCTGTCGTTCTTTTCAAGAATCTAATTTTGGCAAATTTTGGCTGACATTTCAGACCTGGAAGGTTATTTATAAATTTAGTGTGGCAAGTGTGTTATTGTCCTTTTTATTTATTTATTTTTGACAGCAGACAGAAACTACTGCAAGTAAACGTGTTATTTATAGCAAAGAACACACATAAGACAAAAACATATTTAAAAAGTAAAACATTTTCTTTATTCATGTTTTTTCTGATACTGTGTGGCCCTGGCTGCAGCCACACTGTCCGTCAGCCGGTCAGAGGAGAGGAGCAGCCAGTGGACACAGCGTCTGAACCATAAGCGAGAGACAGACTCACTTTACAAACAATGTCTTTGGAAAGTTGTGCTTTTACATTTTCTTCCACCATTTTAAGGACCCATTAAATCATGCTGCAGTTCAAACATCAAGCCAACAAGCTTTTAAAGGGATAGTTGAGTTTTTATCACGTGTGAAAGTACTAGGTATTCACACGATCAAGGACTCCCCCTGCTGGCCAGAAACAAATTGATGAACATTTTTGTGTCACATTTCATACTGCCCATTTAGTACCAAATCGTTAAAATTTTACACAAGATTTACTTCTTTGGTTTTAGTTACTATTCAAGATAAAAATGTTGATTTTCTTCATAGCGTCTGGTACATGAAGCTCAGAACCAGTGTGTAAATTGCCTCCGTGTTTGTCCCACACAATCACACTTCATAAAAACTCAGACTATCACTTTGGCCCCACCCACCCCACGCTGCCCCAAACCCAGATCCTGCTGTAAAACACTGCCCAGGAAAAGCATGTTCCTGGACAAATCTGATGTCAATACAGACATATTAATCAACAAAGAGCTTTAAAAAAATTACAGACTCAACAAGAACTGAAGCTAACTACCTGTGAGGAACTTTGAATTTTGAATGTTCTTTTAAACCATTAAAATGCAAAAAGGGCGCCCCCTGCAGTCACCCAGGCGGAGACACAAGCTGCGCAAACCCATTTCAAATATATATATATATATATATTTTTGTTTGGAAATATTTACATGGAAAGCAGTAGGAATTGGTAGGTTGGTCCTGGGGGCTAACAGATAATGTTGCTGTGGTGGTTAAGTGTTCATGAGTTCATATCACTGATCAGGAACCTTTGTAAAGAAACTATTATAAATGTAGCAACTTCAACTATTCCTTAACAATCAAACCTGATCTTACAGTTTCAAACAAACAATCTTCACCACATCTTTCTTTCTAACTTCTCAACGTCTTCCCTAAAAGTATTCGAGTAGTTTTTCCCTTTTCTCTTTCTTCAGGACTCACCACCAACTCATCTTTAACTACATGCTAACATGCTACCATGCTAACTCCCCGACTCGTTCTCTGATGCATCTTTTTTTTAATTCTGCCCATATATTTTATTATGATGTTACGGTCAATTGTCACCCATGCCCTGTTTCACTGCTATACAACAGTCTTGCATCAAATATCAAATATAATATAATATGTAGCACCTGTGGCTAATTGTGATTTTAAAATCTTGAATTTTGAATAAGTCAATAGGAAGAACATACAGTATAAAATAAGTGTGTTGGTTGAATCACTGCCACCTCACCTTCTATGTCATCACCCAACAAGGTAGCAGAAAGTGATAAAAAAAAAACATTTAAATAACCTTTTTCGTCCAAAATGCCTGAACGAAACCATTTATACCAAATAAGGACAAAAGAGTTTGTTTAGTTTTTTTAAAAGGTAGAGTTTAACAATTACCACCATCATTGTGCTGATAGCCCTGAGGAAGAGAAGAGCGGAGAGGGGAGGGCAGGCAAGGGGTCAGAGAACAGAGACATGCAGGGGAGCATAGGTTTGAGGGGGAGGAGGACGGGGGAGAGAGGTGACGTGACATCTCCAGGTCGTTGGATCATTCCTGTCAGAGAGAAGCAGTGTGTCTTTAAGGACATGTAACGACTTCCTGTTTGAACACAAACACAGACGCAGTTTTAACTTCAGTCCACTTGTTTGCTGATGTCACAAGACTCGGGTTTACAAGCGCTTTGGCGCCACTTAGTGGCCAACTGCTACTATGACTCAGAGCCAGAAGGCTTTGATTCGAATGCACCTTGAGATTTTTGGGAGTTTTACGTATTTATTAAAAAAAACAATTATTTTAACTATTAAACCGTTCTTATGACTTTTAGGTTAACAAACGGTCTTCAATACTGACATCTAGTGGTAACGTCTTTCTGTTTTACTGCATCCTATTTCAAAAGAAGAAAAAAAACTCCCACTTTAAATTCTTTCACCTTTGTTACCTGTTTGATCATCTCTCCAGTTCATTCGATGATGATGGTCTTGTCCTCTGTGATTGGCGAGTTGTACTGATAGTCGTCACCGAGCAGACCCAGGATTGGATACTGGTTTCTGTACCTGAACAAACGCATTCACATGTTTATATACAAATGAGAAAATTAAACCCCACTTGTCACAGAGAGGGACCACTAGCAGTCCACATTTTCTAAACCTGTATTTTTTCCTGCAGTCATTTTACCTTTTAGTGATGATGGTCTTGGTGACATTCTTGGAGCTGTCGCTTTTCTCCTGTATCAGCCTCTTGATCTCCTGCAGGACAAAAGGAGGTCAGAGAAGGTCAGCAGAGTGGACACTAACATTTGCTCCGACGTGCAACGATGTGCAACATCATGGCGACTTGATTATTAACATTTACGGCAACAACGTGTGTGAGAAACCGCAGTGTTGGTGCGGGTGTGTGTGTGTGTGTGTGTCCCACACAAACATTCCTGAGGCTAAATGATCTGACAACCTGTTTTGGTCGAAGCTGCTAGAAACACAAACCCACACAGAATGCAGTCAGACCTGAAAAGTGAAAACTGTAAACTCTGCACTATTTCAGTTCCCACCTGCTTTTTTATATATTCAAACACTCAGTCACGCAATGTCTCTCTCTCTCTCTCTCTCTCACACACACACACACACACACACACACACAGAGAGACATTATTTTCTCATGAAATTATTACATCGAGTCCTAACTTGACTCTTCGGTGCCTTGATCCAATGTAAACATTCTCGACACTTGGTTTTAATGAGTTTTAGTTTTTGTTACTACACTGACCCTGTGGTGTTTGTGTTGGCCCGTCCAGCTGATGCTTCTCATGTCAACACACACCTTTGTGCTGGTGTTTAACGTTTGTAGCTGCCGCTCTAACCTGTTGTTTATCTGTTGCCAACGCCTTTGAATGCTGATGTTGACTTGTTTTTTATTACCTCCTCCTGGCGTTTGATGGTCGACTGCCGCTGATCCAACATGGCCAACAGCTCAGAGATCTTCAGCTCGAGGCTCTTCTCTGAGGATGACTTGGTGGTGGTGGTGGTGCTCACCTCCGTCTGGATTCTGGTGATCTGGCTCTGCAGGATGTAGAAGGTTGAAAAAGTAATTAAATATAAGTTTTACACTTGACATTTGTCCAGTAACAGTTCAGCTTATGTTACATTAAGGTTTCCATGCCGACATGTTGTAACAATAACAATAATCATCCCCTGCTCCTCCTCACCCTCAGTCTCTGGATCTCCTCCTCTTTTTCTCGTCTGATGGTGCTCAGCTGGTCGTTGTACTGACGCGACAGTTCCTCTGTCTTCAAGTGTAGAGTGGTGCTGTTGCCCTGACCTGCCAGCTGCAATACAGGAAGGTCATCATCATCATCATCATCATCATCATCATCATCATCATCATCATCATCATCATCAGATGGGAAACTGCTCTATTTCTAATTGACTTTGACTTTGTTACGTGAGAATATATCAGTGAAAAAACCTCAACATGAGGGGGCTCGATGAACGAATGAGGGCAGTGCAGAAAACGTTTGTGTATATTCCAACTGCTGTCCCAGTGGAAGTGGAGGTCATACATGTCAAACCTCAGATTTTACCTTCTGTCTCAGCATCTCGTTCTCCTTCTCCAGCGCTCTCATCCTTCCCTCCAGCTCTTTAACCTTGAACTCGCGGCTGGAGTCCGTGCTGCGGGTGCTCATCAGTTTGCCCTCCAAGGAACGCTGTGTGGCACTGCTCTCCTTCAGAGACACCTGGAGAGGAGGAAAAACACATCGTGTTTTTCTGTTGAACCAGTAAACTGTGCAGACGGGTAAACGTTGGTAATCTTAGATAAAATTTCATTCTCTGGTACCTGCAGCTGTCTGTTGTTTTCTCTCACAGCCTCCAGGAGACTGTCGTACTGTCGAGCCTGGTCTGCTTTAAAAGTCAGATCTCGCTCCAGAGCTTCTTTCTCCCCCTCCAGACGCTGTGACATCACAGACACACAACAAAGACATAGAATCAAATTAGTCTGGTTAGTAAATATTTATATCTGTTTTTGTTTTCTGCTCATTTGATTCTATTGACACTTGGAAAAACAAATCATTCAAATCAAATTGCTACACGATTTGTCCCTGACTTCAGGAATGTGAGTGACTCCACTGCTAATAAGATCTTTTTATGACATCTGGCCTGACGCCTGATCTCATCTCCGCATAACAGCTAAAAATTAATTTGAGTTCACATTAAGTCGCAGCTCGGTGAAAAGCTGTAAATGTGACGTGTCCCCACATCACACACTGGTTCCACCTCAGATGAACCACAGTGAAAACCTCAAACTGGGTGCATGTGTTTTATAAACATTCGCCGGAGCAGCATCTGTGTGTGGGGGTTCTTATCAGATCCCGGAGTATTAGTGTTAGAGGTGCGTTCCCCCCTGCTCCGTCTGTGTGTGGGGGTGTTAGAGGTGCGTTCCCCCCTGCTCCAGACTGTCAGATTGTCTACACCAGATAAAAACCGCCGTGTGCATCCTGCGTGATGGTGTTTTTCTTCGTCTTTTTATTTTGTTTCCTCTCACCCGCAGGTCCTCTGACATGTGCAGCAGCTCCTCTCTGAGGCTGCTGAAGGTGGACAGCAGCAGACGCATGCTCCTATCTGCAATCAGACGAGTCTGGGACAAACAGAGACACAGGGAGACATGAGTGGGCAGCAGGATGTGACTTCTGAGAAGTAAGGGATCACTTCCACACAGAGATATGAAGCCAAGCGGCGTAAACTACACACACACACGTCATCGTTGTTTACTTCCTTAGCTGAATCACAGTCTACAGTAGGTTGAGAACTTTTTTATACTCCCACCTCTGCGTTACACTACGGGGAATTCAATATCATTCTCTTTCTTCTCCAAACATAACAGAGACGTCGTGTTCAAAGAGTTCTAGTTCTTGTCTCATCTGACATTTCTCTTAAAGTCGTTCTTAGCAGACTACAGTCTGATATTCATGGCTCTTCAGCAGAAGTGGACGATTTCTTCATCTGCAAACTTGCGTTGCATTTCTTTAGTAGACAGAACCACAGCCATGAAAAACTAAATCCCATGAATATTTTCCGCTTTAACAAATTGAATTAAAAAAACTACAATTACTTTTTTTTTCTTGCTTAAACTAGGTTTGAACTGAGGAAACATCTTGGATTAGAGGTGAAACTAACACAGTCCAGTTTCTCCTGGTGTATCTGCGTTGGATATGATGACCTAGATAACTGAGAAGTTCCACAGACACGTCGCTGTCCATTAACTAAGTTCTTACACTGATGGTACATCTGGAAGACCAACTTCACTGTGTAAAAGAACTTACTGTGGTGCTGAACTACTTTACAAAACACTGTCTGAGACAGAGGGCTGATGGGTAAGATTACTCCTATTCACCTGCAGCAAGTAACGAATCTGTTGTTTGGTCAGTTCAGTGGCGCCTTTAGGAATCAGAGCCTCCACTTCATCCATCTGAAGGAAAAGAGAACATTATGGAAACATAGGTCTGACATTAAGGAGTTTAATGAATGATCAAAGTTTGATGTTTTCGTTCTCTTTTTTACATCTGAATACGGGTGTGTGTGTGTGTGTGTGTGTGTGTGTGTGTGTGTGTTTGTTTGTCACCTTGTAGTCATTGCTGAATTCCGTCTGATGTTTCCTTTAACACACAGAGAGGAAGAACAAACAATGAGAATGGAAACATGACTCCCAGTGTGTGTGCACGTTTTTCTATGGTATTGAGGACAGATTTTTTTTTGCTCAAAAACCACAGACCTTTAAAAGTCTGTGTGAGGACTGAAGTGACAGACAGAAGTGGAGTAAAATTATTTCACAGCAACTTTCCAGTATTTACAGGTCGAGGTTCCCTTCAAATAGAAAACCTGACTTCACGAGGCCAAACGTTGACACTTACGATCCTCTGATCTTGGACACGTGCTCAGAGATGCAGGAGTGGATGTCGCAGTTCTTCCTGTAGACGTCAGCCAGCAGTTCCCCGAAGTATCTCGTGTCCATCTTGGTCGGTTGAACCACATCCTTCAACTCGGACTTCACCTCCACCCTGGTGACCTTCTCCACTGGTGGCTTCTGCTGTATGACGTTGACAATCTCAATTTCTTCCACCAAGACTGAGTCCTCCTCATCGTCTTCCTCCTCTTCTTCTTCCTCTTCCTCTTCCTCCTCCTCCTCCTTGTAGACAATGGAAAGGACAGTTATTACCTTGTGTTGTTTACCCCTGAGCGGTGGTTATTGTCAGGAGTAGCGTGTGATGAAAGGTGAACGTAATGTTTGAGGAGATGATAAATATGATGTATGGTTTGGAGAAAACTATTTTAATTACAGTCAATTAACCAAGGAATGTCACACAAATCATTGAACTGTTTATCTACATTTAAGAATGCAGACAAATAATTAGCAACAAACGCACCATTATCTAACTTAGCCTTAAAGCAGCGATCATCAACTGGCAGCCTGTGTGTCACATCAAACCGTCTGATCCAGCCCACGACAGGATTCCAAAATAGTTAGGATCAAAGAGAAAATATCATGTGGTCCCCACTATTAACACAACTGAAAAAACAACAACTGAGACTTGAATAACTCTCAATAATCCCCTCCATTTATGACATGATATTTACAGTTATTTACAGATAAAATATTTGATTTTCATGTCATTTTTTTGTGTCTGTCCAAAACAAATCTGGACCTCTGGCAACTGTAGTCGGTGAGCCGCACAACTGAAAAAACAACAACTGAGACTTGAATAACTCATTTTTTGTCCAGAAAACCTCTGGCAACTGTAGTCGGTGAGCCGTGCTGTAAAGCATGAACCATGTCTGAGCAGCAAAGTCAAACACGCATTACTACAACCACCAAAAAAACCTTTACACCGTTGCATAACCTGTTATCTCAGGTCTTACTTAGTTTCACACACTCTCTGCAAACACTCTGTCAAGTTCTCAGGTGACTCACATGACATGACATGACATCGGTCAATGTCAGTGACATTTATTTCACCTTTTATATCCTCCGCCCTAAGTGTTCGAAGTGATTCATTCAGCTAGAAATCTGCTCGTCTTAGAGAGCTTCGTAGTCTGTACTACTTGGTTGCTTTGCGATGGTATGATTTAATATAATTGTTTGGTTAGTTTCTATCCTATCTCTTTGGAACATATGATGATGGGTCCACACCTTATACCTGGTGTGGAAATGCACGTACTGTAGTTCTTGATACTATACCTGGTATTTGGTCACAAGAGAGTAAAGACGAGTCCTGCTTTTTATTCTTTTCATTAGATGAACTGAAGTCATGAATGTAATAAATGTGAATGAATGGAGTCTGGCTGGTTGGTTTAGGTTGTAATAACGCTCTATAGGTTTAGTGTGATTTATAGCAGCAGCTGTTTCAGACGTTAGGGGTTGTGTGACTGCGTCACTGCATTCCATTCTGGGTCTTTGTACGGCATCAGTTTGTGCAGGGTTAAACTAATGTTGTTCCCTGATAATTTGATAGGGCTACATTGTTGGCTACTAAACTGCTAACTGCTGAATTGCTAACTGTAAGACACAATGTTGCTAGGCTACAGAGAGTCTTTTATGGGTCTGTAATTTATGGGGAATTTCTGATTTCTCGCCAATTGGGATTCTCTCTCTCTTTCTCCACAGAATGACCAAATGATCACAGACTGGGCCACTGTGACTGTTGGACATGGCAGCAAAATGTAAGCTATGTTAGTTGTTGTTAGATAGACCTCCTGACCTTCCTTATATGTCAAACAAACTGTCTAACAAATGCATTTTAATGCTTTACAGATGGTCTGGATCCAGACAAACTTTGATTAAATTCCCTGGATATTGTCTGTGTATATACTAATATACGTATATACTTATAGTAAGATGAATCCGTAAAAAAAATTTCCCTGTAGCGTTTCTAAATTTCAAGAAAGCACCAGTTCATGAGGAGTAAAGGCACCTGTTTCACTTGTGTTTCTGGTGAACTGATGGTTTAACCACGACTCAGATTCCCAGTCCTTGTTGTTGTTTCTGAGCACAGAGGCTCTTTGTGCTTCTGTATTCAAACACTCACTAACGCCCCCCGATGAAAGAAAGCCTCAGCAGTTATGTCATCGCTACCTGCCAGGAAACACTGGCTCGCTGGTCTCTTTTCAAAGAGCAGAATACAGAATAGGAGGAAAGGCACCAGAACAAAAAAGAAAAAAGAAAAAAACATTGGGGAGCTTTAACACAGGAGAGACAGAGAATTCATGACTCTTTGTCTCTATATTCCCAACATATTGTACATATTTATGCACTAGAACAATCCATGTCAATTTCATACACATGCACTTTGCTAGAACAATCCATGTCAATTTCATACACCCAGTGTTACATTAGTATGTTACATTGGATAATAGAATACAAACAGTGTTAGCCACTTCTGTATATGGATGATCTACTGTGCTAACGACTGTAAAATGGGAGCTTGATCAACACATGCCTGGCTGTGTGTGTGTGTGTGTGTGTGTGTGTGTCAGAGGTTTGGTAGTGAAACACTGTGTGAGTTCTAATGTGCTTAAAGAACACTTAGTAAAACAGAGGTGATCAGTGGCTGGTGATTGTTATCACATGGAGGTGGGTGTGTCACAGGGCTGCAGGGCTGCAGCTGCAGGGACAACATGCCTTTCATTCCTGCAGGAAAAGAGAGAGTGAAGACAACACAAAGACCTAAAGACACAGACAGTTTGTTGCATCCGTAGATTCCATTTGTGACAATGACAGGCCTGTGTTTCTGTGTTTACTACGTTGGCTTTTTTTTAACTAGACTCCAAAGAAGAAGCCGACGCCTCAGGGAGGTTTTGTGAAAAAAACATTTAGGGCAAAAATAAATGAGTAATATTTCAACAGCATAATTGTGAGTTTTGTCTAAGATTTGTGTCAAAAAAGTGACTGTTCTTTTTTTGTTATCTTTTAACAGAATCAGCATTCAAATAAGTGATTTACATTGACATTCCACAGAGGGGCGTGGCGGAGTCAGATCTAGTGGGTGTGGATCGGTCTGATCTGTTGGGCCAAACAAACATAAGGTACACATGTCAAACGCTTTTTGATTCCATGTTGTAGGCCAGTTTTATAGAATCAACAGATCTGCTTTGATTGACAGCTTCTTAACCTGAGGTTTGACATCCAGACATGAGGACAAGCTGACTGTGACAGAGTCACCTGGAATGTTTTCTGACAATTTTTGATCACACACAGCTGACGAAGCACAATTCTTAATTTCACCAGATAAATTCACCTTTGTACACAGTGAGAACAGTTTTCAAATCTGAATGAGGTCCGAATGAGGAATCAGACAACGTGATGATGTCAGTGTGCAGTTGAGTTTCGTGAGGAGAAACCTCATCTGATTTAATACCTATATGACAGGTGTCAGTGCCAGATGTACTTGGTTTGACCGGAGCCACGGGTTGAAGACCAAGCCAAGCTGCAGACGGACGCTAAATTCTACCAGCAGCACTGAGGTCATACCGCCGTGTGGAATGTGTGGGAGGAAAACGGCAGCAGCTTCAAGATAAGAGGTTAGTGTTTTATGAATAACTGGTTTTTCTATACTTTACATCTTTATTTCATTTATTTCATCAGAAAAATATCTTAATTTTTTTCTATACTTTACATCCACATATGGTTGGTGAAGTGTAAAAAAAGAGATTTATTTCATCAGAAAAATATCTTAATATGTACCACTACTAATTCTACAACCAATAACTCCATACTTTTCTACACATGACCTTTTGTTTATGGTGACCTAAGGACAAGTGATGCAGAGATCAGACCAGACTGAAATCAACACAATTATTATTATTACTATTATTTTTATTTAAAAAAAAAAAAGAGAGGCTACTTTAATTCATTAATAAAACTGTAATACTTGACAAAAACAAGAACACCCTAAGATGCATCTTTTTGTATTATTTATTATTATTTATTACTGCCCTTCCTATAATTGTTCTTCTTTATTTAAAAACCTTTGTGAGTAATATTAATGATTACTCAGCCATTATTACATTTATACATTTTCTGGTTACAAGTGAACAGCTCCAAGTGCCTCAGTTCACACCTGGTACTTGAAGGCGTCTCAGACGACCACTTGTGAACAGATACGTCACTGTGACATCGCTGCTGTTTGGACAGACTGGACAGGTGTTATTATTAACCTTCCTAATGGTTACTGACAGGAGAGAGAGAGTGGGGGATGCTAAGTGCATAAGTTAAGTGAAAAGAAAAACAGATTCAGTCTGACAAGAGACAGAGAGCAGAGACCACGTCGGTCGACCAACCATCAACTATGGCTGTAGAAGTTTGAAGGACGCAGACTTGCTTCGTTCGTGTTGCGTGCACTCGCATGAACAGACACAAAGAGCCAGTGTAGTAAGGTGACTCTCCTCTCTCCAATAACAACCTCTGGTGTTATTTGAGTCCAACGTCACAAACCCAAATCACACACACACACACACACACAAACCAGAAGCTCTGAGACCATGGAGAAGTGAACCATGTATCGAGTGACTGCTCTTTTGGGACACTGGTGCAGAGAGTTTTGAAACCTATGCCGAACAAACCAAGATCCACAAGGGGTTTGTGCTGCACAACAACAACACTCTTGTTTGTGTTTACCACAAGATGTCTGGGTGCTGAAATGCATCCGGTTTTACAAGTTTACATACAAGTTCAAACGTGAAAATTATTTGTGACATTTTTAGTGACTTGTCAATCCTGTTAGAGAGAAAAAAAATGACCAAGATCTTCCTTCCATGTTGCAGCAAAATTGTTACTGTCATGGTCATTTACGTAACATTCTGGAAGAGATCGGTTTGATCTCACTCTACGATGACTTTTGTTGTCAAACTGCATCTCTAGCAGGTGGACCACAAAGCAGTTGCTCGGTCCAGACCAGAGTTCAGTTCCACCGTTCACACAAATCAAAAGAATCGGCACCAAGATGGTCAAAACTCAAATAGAAATGACTTTACTACATCTATCCAAAAAGGAACATTTCCAATCTGAAAATATATCCATTCAGAAAAGAGTATATCGTTAAGCAACCCATGAAAACTAGCCAAAGTTTTTGACAGCAAAAGTTTCAATTTTGCTGGAACGCTGTCAAAAAAACAAACAAACCTCACACCGCAATCAAGTTTTTATTGTGCTAGATTTATGCGTGCAAAAATATGCATTTTCACAATAACAAATCCCTCAACAGCCGTAACACAGTGGCATATTTTTACTCTTGACAAATTAAAAAGCCATGAAATATGAACAGCAGTTGACATCGCCCTCTGGAGAGCCTGAAATTTGTATTTCATAAAGAGTAAGGAAACCTTTTAAATGGTTGCACAACAGGACCATAACTCACCATGCACCATGGACTGACGAGGTTCGTCAGCATTAGAATCAGAGGCAGATGTCGTACAGATGTGCCAACTGACACTCACACACACTCACACACACCGTCTGCAGATTGAGGTATTTAAGACATCACAAGGTGGATGGATGTTAAGGTCACATGTACGTGTTTACATTAGATATTATTGAATAGAAAGCTTCAGATTGGTACCTTAAATAGAACTAAGGAAACTTGTAGGACAAATATTCAAATTGGAGACAAAAATATGTTTTCACTGTAATAACTCTAGGAGTAAGAAACACTATGTGATCCTTCAATAGATCTTAAAGGCATATCTTCAACCCAGATGTGTTTTAAATACCATCACTGCTGGCTTTCAAACCTTCAAGCTTCCTTTCTCTCATCACATATTTTCTTATGATAAAACTGTCCAGACTGGCTTCTGTTTCTGTTTATTTGCACATAAACTGCTCAACATCAATATTAAATATTTCTCAGATTGTTCATTAACTTTATTTTATCCCACACTGGGGAAATTGTTGTGTTAACATCAGCTGTGCTGCGACAGGCTGCCCCTGAGAGGCGCCATGTGGTTCCTCTGGGAATTGAACCCATGACTCTCTGCTTTCAAGGCAAGCTTGCTAACCGCTAAAAGTGGTGTTCAATGGTTCTATCAAATCAATCATTTTTATTTATTCTAAAGATCTAGAGATGGAAGTCTGCTTGGCCCATGACTACAAACAAGAGTGATCTGATATGTTTCAATAAGTGAAAACTGTCCAACGACCATCTTTCTTCTTCTGAAACTACAACATTTTCCAGACCTCAAAATTTATGCATCAAAAATCCATCCAGCTGGCAAAAAATCTTAAATGCTCATTCAAACTTGATTTTGGAAAAATGAACAGCCCTTGAAGTTTCTGTTTAACTGTTTATGAAGTCAACAGGAAATGCCAAAAATGTAAATGTAGTAAACCAAGCAGTCCAATCCAGTGTGACCACATCGTTACGCCCCCCACACCCTCCACTCCACCCCCAACACCATCTCTGTGATTAACTCTGAATACTTTACATACCCCGCAGTGGTGAGAGAAGCCTCAGCTGATCAGAGACGAAAATCTTCCACATGTCACCAAGATGCAGACGGTGCAAAGTCGCCATCATGACAACACCTAAACTAACACCTAAAGATCAGTATTCTAACTCTCCTCTACGCCCCTTGTCTGTGACTTTGACCAAACTGTTGAGGGGTGACGAGGTCAGAATCACTTATTTAAAGATCACTATATCAACTGAACACCAATCACAATTGATAAAGATGATGAGAAAGTGATGAAGAAGGGACATTTTATCTTAGAATGAGTTAGGAAAATCTAAATCTAAATAAACTACATTTATTTACCACAGTAGTGATATTTAATATTTGTTTGATTAATACCGACTAGAAATGTGGAAATAGTCCAATCTCATTTGTCACAAAGTTAAAAAATGCGTCTTATTTCTGAGGATCAAGACTTTGGGGTGAGGATGAGGTTATGTTTAACTGCTCAGAAAATAAATTTATTCAGTCGTTAATTTTCTCCTTTTGCAAGAGTGAAATCTTATCCTACCTACATGTAACAAACACTTCACCTTTGACTGTTTACAACAGAAAATTTTCAAAGAAAATACTCACTCTTTTATTATCTGTATATAACCTGGAATAACTTCATTCAAATCCTTCACTCATCTCTGTTCCAATATGAACTTTTGCACATGAGTCTTGTTGAAACATGTTCATGAGTCTCATCCGTTCCTGATTATTATGATGGTATGACTTTTTACTCTGCAGCAGCTAACCTTTCTGTTGCTGAACATGAAAACGTTGACATTGCCAACAGGTTTACAGAAAGATAACTTAGACAGGAATTGTTCACAGTTGCAATAATATCAATCAAATAAGATTCACAGTTGCAATAATATCAATCAAATCACTAGTATTTAACTGAAATATTCAGGTTAAGCTTAAGGTAAAACTTAACCCCTTGAATGGCTTAAGGTTAGATAAGAATTGCCAAATAATGACCAGAAAATTGAAAAGCTAGAATACATAGTTCAAACATGTCATCAGAAATGCCAGAAATTTAACTAACTAAACGATGGCCCTTAAATGGCAAAAACAGTCAAAGAAACCACTAATGTGTATATAAAAATGACTAAAACTTGAAAAAGTTTCAGATAAGGCTACACACAAATATCTTAACATTACATTAAAAACAAAACAAATAATAGTAAATAAATAATAAACACATTTCAGATAAGGCTACACAGAAATATCTTAACATTACATTAAAAACAAGTTTGATAACAATAATATATTCCAAGATAACCAAAACAACCAAACCAAACCTGTCCTGTAATTTTACTAATACCAAGAAAAAAATAGACAAAATTTAATCAAATATTTGAAAAGTAAAGAGAAGCAAACAGTGGAAAGTCTTGCAGGTTGTAGCAAATATGTAACAACAATTACAACCTGTTATATAATCCTGGGGCAGGGGAGCCTTATGTTTGTTAACTTCTGTAATAACCGCTCATTAGTTAATCATAAGGTCTGTCACGTTTTTGGACAGACTGTACATCAAGTATGGACTTGTCTGTTTTTTTTTTCAAATCCAATGGCATCAAATCTCCACCGTACAGTTTCTGAGATCCGCCCTGTTTTGACAATAGCCGCAGCACGCATGCATATACAGACACACATATATAGACTGCAGGTTTGAATGTAGTGGAATGTGCCCGCCCACTGCAAAGGCCTGTGGGAAGAGGCTGTGAAGGACACACCCCGCTTTTATGCAACACACACCCAGAAGAAGCTCGTCAGCACGACCGTGGCAGTTTAAGGTTCTGAGATTATGCCGTTGTCACACCGAGGGCGTGTCTGTGCGTGCGTGCCTCTGTGTGTGTACCTGCTTTAGCAACACTTGTGTGGACGATTTTTGGAGGGACATTTTCCAGGTCCCCACTGTGTGAAAGTGTATTTTGAGGATCAAGATTTAATTTAGTAAGAATTAGAATTAGGTCATTAGAGCTACCAAAAAGCCACGTGTGTGTGTGTGTCTGTGTGTGTGTGTGTGTGTGTTCCCCTGCACACACTCTGAGGGTTCCGAATAAAATAAACAAATAGGAAAAAAAATCATTGTGCTTAAATTCCTTAAGACACACTGACATGTTCCCATGTGATGGTTTCACACTGAAGGGTGTGTCTAAACAGAAGCCACACACACAACCACACACACACAACCACACACACAGTTTCTCCTATAAAAGAGCCAACACATTATAAAAGTAAAAAGTAAAAGTAAAAAAATGTAAGCTTAAATTTAAGAAAGAATATCACTTTACCAAGTAATTTCCAAAAGGGAACTCTGGAGGGATTATTAAAGTTCTATCTATCTATCTGCATATTTAAAACAAAAACAAACAAACAAAAAAACAACGGGGACAGAATAACGTGATTGCAGCTAAGCCCCATGACTGATGTCTTTTGGAATAATATGAATTATTTTTCACATCACACATGTTTTTGAAAGCCTGTTATCTAGATCTAATTTGTTTTCAGATTTTCTCCAGCAGTAATTTTTCAAAGGGAAGCAAACACCCACACCTTCTATTGAATCATGCAACGGTTACTCAAAAAAAAAAAAAAAACTTAAGTCAATGTCTAATTACTCCACTATTGTTTAAAGCTCCGTTTCTTCACAGTAAACCAATCCACACAGGTGTAGACACTCTGCAGCTGCACCTGGCTTTCTATGAAGACAGGACTGACGCCCATGAAAAGAATCTGAAAATGGGTTCAATCCTTTCAAATCCTGTGCAGGGTGGTGCTGCTGCCGCTGCTGCTGCATTTTTACAGTACATTACGCTGCTGCCGCTGCTGCATTTTTACGGTACATTATATTTAACATGTTTTTAGACCAAGAACTTAGAGGCAGAGCAGCAAGAACACAGTTGATCAGAACTTTAATGCTAGAGCTAAACAAACAGCACATGCTTAAATGGGTTTGCCACCACTTAGACCCCAAACCACAGGTTGGGTCGCATCAGGAAATGGCATTCAGTGTAAAAACTCTGCCAAATACCTATGATAATCACTGCTGTGGACACTCCTGAGGCGGACGAGCCGAGTGTAACTTATCGTCTTCTAGAACTTTGCATTATGGGTGCAGCAAATTAATTATTCACATTTTTGTTCCATGTTTCAGTTAATGTCTAAAATATACTAATAAATAAATCAACAGAAAAAGCTGACATATTTTTTCCTAAAATGACTGCAGCTGCAGCGCAAAGGCCTCTCTTGAACAGTTTGACTTTTGCCTAATTAACATTGACGACTGGGAACAGTTCAACGTTTAACTTGCTGTGACAAGTTTCAGAATGATTTATGTCTAACAGCAGTTATGTTTCAAAATAGACCAAGGAAATAGAAGATTTCAAGTGTTGTAGATGTTAAATAAACAAGACTGAATTTCACCGTACAAAGGGGAAAAAAATCATGTTTTTGCCAAATACTTAGTGAAGGACACATATATGTTTGCATTTGCTGAGCATGAATACAGGCTGGGTTTATCAGAACCTGTGTTAGGTTGAAGAGAATATGTAGGTCATTTAGTAAAGGCTTGTTTGTGTGTGTGTGTGTGTGTGTGTGTGTCCTTGCCTCTCCAACACTTGGCTCCGGGCTCTTGATCGGACTCGATGCTGCGCTGAACACAGATGAAGATTTTCGGCTTATGGTCTAAAATAAGGAAAGAAAAAAGTGCAGCTGGCGTTAGGTTTCAAAACAGAAGTGACTTCACCTCCTTCTGTATGACATCATCTTTACCGCTCTTTAACATTTTTTGAACCACATCCAAGGTCAAGCCACAAAGTAAGAGGTTTTGTTTTGACTAGTAAAGTAAATTAACATAGTGGAAGGAAGGCTCTGCTGTGGGTAACAGAGCATTTAGTAGACCAAAACTGAGGCCCTTACTATTGCCCTGGAAATCAGAACCAAATTTGTCTTGAAAACAAGACTTTTATTATAGGTTTTCTGTTACCATGCAAGAAAGGTAACAATAATTTGTGTACCAGAGTTCCATGGGACCACAAGTACACACAGGGATGCCAATGTTATGTTTGGCAATAATTATTATTGGTGTCTATGTGTTTTGGAAAGATTTACTGGTTGATTTCTACTTTTTTTAAGTAAAAATCTCTACAGAATGGTGTAGACCTGCCTTATGTTTCTAACATGTTATGGGGCATTTAACATTTGATAGACTTTTTAGGATAATTAAACCAGAATCTAAACTCCTTCTAATGATTAACACATTTCAAAACAGTCCAACAAGCCACACTAAAATGACATAGCTGCTCTCAAACCACAGACCACAATTACTAAACACGTTACTGAAAATTAAATCAATTATAGACATTCTCAGTCGGTCTTGATTAGGTCCTGCAGGCAAAACCTGGAACTAAAACCCACTGCCTAATTTTATTTATTTATTTAAGAGTTGTGTTTAATAGGACAGTGGAGAGAAAATGAAAGAAATGAAGGGAGTCTTCCTGTTGACCTCTGATCACGTATTCAGTACAGGTGATCTAACCACGGGTGGAGGAACGTGTTTGTCTTCAAATGAAAGGGTGTGCCACCAAAGCAGAGTCAGACTGGGCGTGGTACCACTCCTCTATCAAATATTACTTTACCAACTACCTCGGACTTCACTAAACTCATACTGCTATGATTCAAACTAGTAAATTATCAGCTAAAATCGAAGGCAGGTTAGGAGAATACTAGACTCCTGGACAGTTCTATTTCCATACCAGGCAAAAATGTGCGAGATAACAACTTGTGACAGTAAATATAACATTCGAACATTTTGTCTGAACAGAGCCTTTCTGTAAACCTCTACAGGGGCAAAGATCAGGACGTTCAGGAAATCATTATGTGCACAGGAAAGTGTTGGTGATTCACTGGTGAAACCTTAGCAGGACTAAGTAAACTCAGATACTGTAAGAGCAGAGCTGCGGTTCAAAACCACTTGACCATGTCAGCAAACTCAAACACCAATCATCTGGAGACAGTCATGAATAACAGTGTCACATTGTGACAAAACCTCTTCTAATTAGCCATGTAGTAAAAAGCAGGTGTGGCCACACTTCCTTCCTTTAAAGAATGTGAAGCTGATAATGTTAAAGGAGGCTTCTGTGATTTTCTGAGTGTGTTACATAAGGTAATTGTGTAAAAAAAAAAAAAAAAATCAATAGCAGTTATGACACAGATGGTGCCACTCTAGGTGCTTCCAGTGAAGAAAAGGAGCCTTTTTGTTTTTTATACAAATGGAAGCTTAATGTGCTACATTTTTATTTTGCCATGAATTTTTTTTTTTTAAATAATTTAGTACTTTAATGCACAGAACCCTTCTCTTTAATCAACATATATTGTACAAAGATCTGTTAATTTACCCATTGCTAAATTTTGGGGGTACAAATTACTTTTTGTGCATTTCATGATTTACCTGATTCTAAACAAAACAGTAGAAAAACAATTGCTCTTTTTCCAAGTAAGCTTGAAATGTTGGTTTTTTATATGGATTTTGGTGCAGAATTGTATGGTGTTTAAAAATGTTGAAAAAAAAATTAAAGTCCAATCCTACACTGAAGCATTCAGGATACTTCTAAGCATAAACTATTCATGTCAGCTTATTGTCAAGTTGCCAAAAGATGTTGTTTTTGGCTGGCAGCCTTGTTAACATTGAGAGTTGAAAACAAAATCTCAACACGGAAAACACAGAAGGAGTCATGCAAAACATCCAGCTATAGCATTTAAAATTAACTGGACCTCAGTACACTGGGGGAGAAAAGGGTGGCATTTGGCTGTGTCTGATATCGTAGCCAAAACAATACCTCAGTCTCCAGCACCGATACGGATAAAAAGAAGTGTGTGTGTGGGGGGAGGGGTTCTTCCCCAATTTTTGCTTTGTTGCATATTTTAGCAGCCAACCACCCACACAGAGAAATCTGATAAAGGGGAAATCTGCTGAGGCTTTCATGGCACAATGTAAAGACATTCATGGAGATTGGGTTTTATTACGGATATATTTTTTTACAGATTAATGGAGGAAGTTTCTAATAATTAAATATAAATACATGTGTGACTGTGATCCTTATGTACTACTTTAAATATATATAAAAATAAAATTAATTTTAAAGTGGCAGCACTTTTAATTTTTTTAAATGCCTTATTACAGCCATTCTACTGTAAGAATAAACGTTTCATGCAATTTAAATGCCTTATTACAGCCATACTACTGTAAGAATAAACGTTTCATGCAAAAATACAGCAGATACATAAGTATTTTATTAATCATTGTTAACTATTAGTGTCAGATCACAGTTAGGGATAACTCACTACATTGTACAAATGCCTGGATTATGAGGTGCACATTTTGATAGTCCGTCACAAGACAATGATGACACAACGCATCAGCAGATGGCAGAACTCTTACTCTGACTTTTATTTTTATCTAAAAGCAAATGAAGCATTTTGGTAGTCTGGCAGACTACCAAAGCATGACTTCTATGGCCACATGTCCACATGTTCCTCTCTCATTTTGTGAAAACTCAAACAGGTGTCAGAAATAAGCTGTCAGTGTTAACTCGACGACCAGCACAGGCCTAATGAGGTTTCCGTCTTTGCAGATGACGCTTTCCTACTCAGAGAGACAATGCAGCGAGTGGGTGGGACTATTACAGGTGAGTACATCAGCACACGCTTCTACTTATGTCATCAGCTTTTTTAGAGGAAATTCCTCTGGAAAAAAAAAAACCTTTAAGCAAATGTGCAGTAACACTCATGTTCAGCTGTGGACTCCAGAGAAGAAAAGGAAGAGACATGAAGTCAATTAGCTTTCTCACAACACTTGAGCTAACTCTACCCCGTTAAAAACCACCTGCCCAGGGATCATGAGAAATGTCACAGGAAAACACCAAGAAACCACATAACCTGTCTATGAATAGAAAAATAGAGCTAAAATTTCAAAAGTTAAGAAATATCTGCATTGACTTTAAGTTCATATATTAAGAGAGTTAAACCATATTATGTGTATGTGTATTAAATGTGTATTAAATGTGTAGCAAGCTAGAATGTAAGGTAATGTAAACATGTGGGTAGGAGTATAATTGTGCAGGAACCATGTTATTAAGTATGTTGATAAACAGGTGACTGTGTTAGTACTGCAGGTACGCATTGAAGTACACGTGTTGGTAGGTAAAAACAGCTGTATAACAAATACATACTGTAGTCAGGAGAAAAAACAGTTGCTGAGCTAATTAGCAGGTAGGTTATGTCGTAGTTACAAAGTAAATGTGGAACTACGGTAGGTTGTCAAGCTTTGTAGTTAGGAAGTAAATGCATAAGGGCCGGAGAAAGTAAATATGTGCGTAGGTAAATACGTATCGCGCAAGTGTAGTAAATCGTGTTTTGAGTATGCTATTCGGGTAAATACAGGTAACTAACAAAAATGGTTAACTACACTCATAATATTGTTAATTCATTCTTCTTTAAAAAAAAAAAATATGAATATTCTCCAGCACCACTCACCTCTATTGACGGCTGCTGCAGGTACATCAATTCGGACTCCTGGCTGCTGACGCTCAGCCGGGGCATACCCTGCAGGTAGACCGGAGACACGCACTGGACCATAGACTGCATCATAGGTTGCGGCATCATAGGTTGCGGCATCAGCATGTACTGCTGTTGCTGCACCGGCTGTTGCATTGGAACCAGGTACCGAACAGTCTCGTATCCGCCGTTCTGAACAGTTTGAATCGGCGACACCGACCTGGTCGTGATCACCGGAGCCGTAATTTGCTCCGGTGAAGACGCGTTCATGGTCCGGTAGGAAGTGGTGGTGGTTTTGCGGCTGGTCCGGAGTGACATGACGGAGAGCTTGGTCAGTTCAAACAATAGAACCAGACAAATTAAAAACTAACAAACAAGATGGAGGAAGTTTTTGAAAGTTTGACTAAAAGCTGTCAGCGGCAGTGCAGCGCAGGGGCGAACCACCCCAGTGCTACTTAGTCCTGTGCTGGATAAACTAGAGAAGAAAGTGCGGTTAGAGAATTTCCAGTACGGACGTATAACTAAGAGGGAGGAGCGGGACAAGGAGGGGGAGAAGAAGGAGGAGACGCGAGAGAATTTACTTCTATGAGGGTTTTTTGTTTGTTTGTTTGTTTTGGACTGTCAATGACTACGTCTAACTTATACATTTAATCTTATTGTATTTTATTTTTGCAATTCGCTGAAAGATAAGGGTTACCTTCTTGCGTTGTTTCAACCGAACTCTCGCGACAACAGGACCAGGAAACGTCTTTATTTATCAGGTTCTAGGATGGCTGCGACTCAGCGGTTCTCTCTTCCTCTCTGCTTTTCAGTCGATGTTGTGGTGTTGTTAGTCGCTGGTCCGTCGTTCTGAATCCACGATTTTCTTCAGGTGAGAGAAAAGCCAGTTGGACATGTGTCTCAGAACGTTATTGTTGAAAAGCAATGCGGCATCTTGTTGTCCTTCAGCTTTAGCTGGATCCGTTATACCAGACTTGACTTAACCAACCCCATTGAGAAATAAGCAAATTTAACAACGGTGTGCTTTCATATCTGATATAATTAAATAGTAGATTTATAGTTTTTTACTTATTGATGTATTATTAACAAATAGTCAATTCGGCTAAGTTAAATATCCGAATTAGTCGATATTTTTGATGAAAAACGAGGCTTTGTACAGCGACTGACGTATCTTCGACATACTCCATACGTACATAAACAGACACATTGTTGTTAAAAAAAGTTGTCCCACCACATTCCTATTAATTTTTATATTTTTGTCCTGATTTAATATGAACCTGAACAGTGTCATCTAGTTGCTTGCTCTCATCATACACGACATCGCTAGCTATGTTAACGGAGATTTGAACTGAACAAAGGCCTCCGCAGTATCCGTACCATCAGTAAACACAAATGAGGTTTATTCATAGCTATACTATTGAATTTTTTTTTAATGGGAATACTGATTTTGTCTTGGCGATGATGCTGTTAAATAATCACCAGTATTCTGAGCAATCCTGCAGTGTCACATCCTCCAGACTATAACAGGGCAGAAGATGCTTCTATAGGTAGCAACGGTTTATCTTTTTCACCAGCAGTCTGTGCTGCGGTTATTTTGGTTACCGACATTCAAGAAAATGGTTTAACAGTTTCACCGTATTATAACCATTTAGCATTACTGTCAGAAAAATTACCAACGTGAAGCACGGGTTATCCAACAGGGGGTAGTTTTCCTTTCTTTGAGCAGCTGAGGTCGAGATACAGCTGGACCTACTGAAACTGTGTCATAGTTGATGTTTAGCCTCTTCTGTGTCCTCAGTTGCTTCAGCTGGCAATACTGGTCCCTCACAATGCATCGCAAGAGGTTTTCATGTCTCCTGGATACACCATTGTAACCACTGTCAACACATCCAACCGTCCTGGGCTGCACAGCCGTGTAGTTTGAAGGTAGAATGTGGTTCTTCAGTTTTATTATGGCCACAGATGTTGTCTTTGTAGATGGTGATGATGATGATTAAACTTATTCTGTCGTTCTACTCTTTCATTTCCAGTTTCTCTCTGGTTTGGTCTCCACAATCGTAGGAAAGTCATGTCTGGTCCAGGTGACTTACCAGGTAAGCACGTCATCTGACTTTGAGCTGCCAGAGAGGTGCTGAGAAGCCATATCACTTAAAACAAACGTGATATATGGCATGGTGTTTATATCTGCAGCTCTAGAAGGTTCTGGAATGGGTGGGATGAAGCTTCCGATTGGGATGACTCGAAGAGCGCTCAGTTACGATGACAACCTGGAGGCCCCCATGTCCACACCACCACATGACATCAACATCAACAATCTGTGGAGACGACCCGTCATACCAGAAAGGAAGTTCACACATCTGGCTGAGGTGAGGCTTCCTTACACACACAGGAGGTACCATTTCAATCTTTTCAGTGATCCAATTTTTTTTTCTTAATTTGGTATTTTGTTTTCTTCAGGAGGATGAGAGTGGTGCAGTGAAACTGCCCTCGCTGCCTGACAGCGCCCACTCCAGGCCACAAGGAGTAGTGAAAACCAAGGCCTCTTCCATCATAATGAATTCCCTCATGACCAGTAAAAAACAATTATACAATTACGATTTTATTATTGTAATTAAGTACAGTAGAACAAAACATTTTTAATAAAACCAAAGCATGGTGGTCCCATAGAGCTGCTGTGGAAATTCGAGCTTTCTACAGCTTATCATGGCTGACCGTGGGGGGAATTGTAGCTTGATTTATTAATTTTAGGAAAACATTGATAACATTTTCAGTGAGACACAAAAACGTTTACCTTAGTTTTCTGTGAAAGAAATGTATTTGCTCACTTTCGATCAGTATGATGTATATCCAGAGAAGAGATTTTTGGCAAGTCAGTTTTTGTAAATACTGTGTTCAAAAAGCAGTTCTACAGGTAGTGGCTGCCATCTGCTGGTATAATTCTTAATGATTTAACTTTAACATTAAGGTCCAGCAAATGGAAGAAAGCAAACATTTTCTGTTGCAACAAATCTAAATGATATACATCCCTAATGGTAATTAACATACAAAATTATCACTGCACTTGTATTTTATTGCTCTATTAATTTTAAACAGAACAGACTCAGGACAGCGTGTACAAATTTGAGCAGAGGGCCGGGCTGTCGGACACTGGCTACACACCTCACAAAGGCCTCACCGCGGAGGAGACCAGACACCTCCACCGCATGCCTGAGTCCCTCCAGGTGAAGAACTACACTTAGCTTTCTGTTTTCACTAAAAGTTGAAGCAGTTATTTCTGGTTCATGATTTGTTTTACGGTACATACGACACTACAATATATGTGAAGGCAAAAAGATCAAAAAGGTTTTTTTTTCCACTGCTTCACAGGTTCTTCTTCTGAGTAAATGTGTGAGAAATGTCACCATTTATCAATGTTATTATTATTTATAATACTTTTTACACTGCAGAAACTACAGATTCAAAGCATGGAGTCACGAGAAGATCGACAGAGCTCCTCTGCCCAGTCCACTCCATCTACCACACCACACAGCTCTCCAAAACAACAACGCAGGTACAAACCCACGCATACACTACTAATACCTACCTTCAATTCCCATGAAGACACAAAGCAGTCGTAAAACCACTACCTACTTCCTTATGACTCTGTGGCAGGTGATACTTTGTCTCCTGTTATAAACTGTTTGTTCTCTTTTT